GCTTAGCGGCTAACTTCAGGGAAAACTCGGGGTTTCCGGTCCTACGACACTGGTTCTCTTTTTAGCGGGCTAGATCTCCATGGTAACTTATGCTGAGCGGCTAACCTGCTCCGGAGCAGGTTAGGTTGCAGGATAAGAGATCAACCAGTGAAAGCACTGCCTGTCCAATCAGAGCTCAGTGTGCGGAGTTTAAAGCGATCAATTCATATTACAGGAGAAAGGAAATACAGAAAAGCTGCCGTCGCAGGAAAGACGGCCGGCAAAAATCACCGACTGTGTGAACGTGAAAATGAATAGAATATCAGCTCCATCTTCAGAGCAATCTGACTATTATAACATTAGCGTTAAGAAAGCTTACTGAAATATCTGCCACAACATAAGTAACCGGATCAGAGTGACATTAAGTACAGTCCGCGGCATATCACTTCATAATGTATCATATATCTCCTTATCTGAGTCAGCTGAGCCGTATCTGGCCGTGCAACACTCACAGTGTCACAGACTGGATGCAGAAGTATTATTTTAAGCAACACATTAAGTTGAGGAAACACTCGAGACAAATGTAATGAAAGTCAGATGGTGTCTTAGACGGGCAGTGATATCATAAAGCTGTTAATGTACGCATTCAAACACTTTTTCTGTCACCAGCTGTATTCACCTTGCAGGTGCAGCTCTGTGGCTTTGATCCTGGATCAAGTGTTTAAGTCATGGATGTTTAAAGTTTAACTTCTTCATATTTGACAAATATTAAAGTGCACTTTTCATTCAGGAAGTATGACGCTGCGCTGTCAGTGCGCCTCTCCATGTTTGTGATTGGTCGAATGCTCCAGATACCACCCCTTTCATGTGAACGCGCACCTAACTAGATAGGACACGGCTGGCTTGAGAGATCCACTTGATAACCAGCGTCGTAGGACCGCTTAGCGAGAGCGCGTATGTTTTGGATTAGGCCAACCGGCTAACTCAAACATATCCAGGTTATGTTGAACCGGCTTCGTAGTACAGGCACTGGTTCATTTGTTTTTGATTAGGTATACTGTTGTAGAGCAGGGGTCACCAACCTTTTTTAGGATGAGAGCTACTTAAAAAAAATAAAACAAGTCTTGAGCTACTTTTATCTCTCTTTTTTTTGTTTTTTGCAGTGTATATATTTAGCACATTTTAACATTATTATATGCTTAACTTGAACCTTTGTGTGCTGTTTGGGTCTGTGGGACCCTTTTTCAGTGTTTACTAAAAGAAAATATATGCAATTTAATTATTTTAACCTGCTTTATTTGGACCTCACATCCTGGGAAAAAAAATGTAAAGGATGAAGTCAAAAGCATCAATCTGGTGCACTTTGAGCACAACATGAATGTATGGAAACAGCTCTCAACACTCAGATGAAAGGGAGCTGTATACTTTTCAATACAAATCTTTAGAATATCATCACAACCAATAACAAATGATTTAAACTTGTTTATTCCTATCTTATGTTACCTAGTTAGCATTCTTTCTTTTTATTTATGCATATTTTAATAATCACTCCCCTTTTAAATAAAATATAGTACACATTGGAATGATGTATTACTTTATCTTTTACAGCTATATTAAATAGATCTTTCTAGCTCTCTCTCTCTGTCTCGCTTGCTCAAAGAGGCTGTGTGCTCCTCCGTGGCGATGACGGCTTGCGTTAAAAAAACTTCCTTTTTTGTTTGTTTTACATTTTGGATTTACTATTTTTAGAACATGCCCCTGCGGGGCTACCCCTGTTGTAGAGCATAGACATTAAGCTGTTTTATAAAAACATTTAATCCTTTAACTGCCAGACCAAGAAAAAAGCTGTGGAAAAATTATTTGTTTGCATTTTCTTTATCAAATGGGCCACAAATAACCATTTGTTTTGACTGACCACCCAGTTTTGTTTTTATGAGCCTCTACCAACTGGTCGAGCTGGCCTTCTATGGTAAAAGTGCATTTTCAACAATCATCATATACAGTACAGTATTTGTATGCATCAAACTCAAATACATGTGTTTCTTTTATGGAAAATGAGCAATGTATACAACCAGATATATTCATAAAAGATAATAAATTCTAATTGTAAAAAAAGAAAAATGGAAACAAGTAATGTAAAGTGTTTTTCATGATAAAAAAAATACTTGCTCATCTTACTGTATGAATTGGCCTAACAAGAAACCACTGGCCTAACAGCAAATGTCTATATCCTGTGTTGGCCTAACTTGCTCATCAGTGTGCAACTTTGGGCTGTATGCCATGCATGAATGGTGCTATAAAAATTATTATCACTCTTTCACTCTGAGACTCAGGGCCGCCCCTTGCCAACTTGGGGCCCCAAGCGACATTGTGAGATGAGGCCCCCCCAACCGACAGGAGTGAACATTTTTTTGCAAATATAATTCCTGTTTATTATTATCAACAGTTACTTTTTTATACAGTGAGGTAAATGGTAAATGTATGTCGTTCAGTATGCATTTACAGGTGAATAAGTCTGCATTTCCTGCCAAATACTAGCCTCAAAAAGATTAAAATATAATTAATGCAAATAAACAACTTCTACTAATAATAATAATAATAATGATAATCATAATCAATTCAATAATAAAAATACTATATTTTTTATTATAATATAGTTGTAATATAGTCAAGACAAAACATGCTTATGACATGCTCAAAAACTGATATTTCTTAAATCTGTATTCAAATGTAGTTCCCTCAGCAATGTATCAACAACCACACACACATTTCTATCAGTATTTCTCTGTGTTGTGGTTGACATGATGATGACTGTTAGGAGTTAAGGGGAGAGGCTGAGCGTCACCATGATGATGACTGTTAGGAGTTAAGGGGAGAGGCTGAGCGTCACCATGAGGATGACTGTTAGGAGTTAAGGGGAGAGGCTGAGCATCACCATGATGATGGCTGTTAGAGGTTAAGGGGAGAGGCTGAGCGTCACCATGATGATGACTGTTAGGAGTTAAGGGGAGAGGCTGAGCGTCACCATGAGGATGACTGTTAGGAGTTAAGGGGAGAGGCTGAGGGTCACCATGATGATGACTGTTAGGAGTTAAGGGGAGAGGCTGAGCATCACCATGATGATGACTGTTAGGAGTTAAGGGGAGAGGCTGAGCGTCACCATGAGGATGACTGTTAGGAGTTAAGGGGAGAGGCTGAGCGTCACCATGAGGATGACTGTTAGGAGTTAAGGGGAGAGGCTGAGGGTCACCATGATGATGACTGTTAGGAGTTAAGGGGAGAGGCTGAGCGTCACCATGATGATGACTGTTAGGAGTTAAGGGGAGAGGCTGAGCGTCACCATGAGGATGACTGTTAGGAGTTAAGGGGAGAGGCTGAGCGTCACCATGAGGATGACTGTTAGGAGTTAAGGGGAGAGGCTGAGGGTCACCATGATGATGACTGTTAGGAGTTAAGGGGAGAGGCTGAGCATCACCATGAGGATGACTGTTAGGAGTTAAGGGGAGAGGCTGAGCGTCACCATGATGATGACTGTTAGGAGTTAAGGGGAGAGGCTGAGCGTCACCATGAGGATGACTGTTAGGAGTTAAGGGGAGAGGCTGAGGGTCACCATGATGATGACTGTTAGGAGTTAAGGGGAGAGGCTGAGCATCACCATGATGACTGTTAGGAGTTAAGGGGAGAGGCTGAGCGTCACCATGAGGATGACTGTTAGGAGTTAAGGGGAGAGGCTGAGCGTCACCATGAGGATGACTGTTAGGAGTTAAGGGGAGAGGCTGAGCGTCACCATGATGATGACTGTTAGGAGTTAAGGGGAGAGGCTGAGCATCACCATGAAATGTGCAAATTGACATAAAAATGAATAAAAGGGGAAAAAATGCTCCATGTTTTTTAGGCTGTAAACTTTAACTGTTATGTAAGCCAACTAGACAGACAGTGTATCTCTCTTCCTCCTCTACATTAGCAGATAAAAGATATAACATACTTGAATGAATGTTAAATAAAGAATGCTGGAAATAACTGCATCTCCATTAGCCTATATGCTCTGCAGAGACTGCCTTCTTCATGTCGTGAATTGCAGCTGATGTTTGAATATGGCAATTGGCAATTTGACTTATACAACATTCGCAAGTTGTACATTTGACTCATACAATAACCCACCTTCGAGTGATGCTCTAGTTTCTTCATGTTTTGTTTTTTGCGCCGGACTGAAACTGTCTTTTCACCGACATCTCTTCACCTGCACTAGTGGCCGTATCAAAGCCGTGATTGGTCAGATGTCGATACATTGCAACGGTGTCGGGTTACAGACATGCTCCCCTTGTCACCTCTCACTCTCGCGGAGAACTGCGCACAGCAGCTGAGGCCCTCTGGGCGGGGCCCCCTGCACAAGGCGGGGCCCCATGCAGTCTGCGTGATTGGCCTGTAGGGAGGGGCGGCCCTGCTGAGACTCATAAGGCAGAAATAGATTTAGTAATATTACCATGAATCTAGCCATTTATTTATCATATTTTATTGGAAAACATCTCTGAAACTCTGAAAAAGTCATATTGCTAGTTTACCATAAAAGGCCAATTCGACCGGTTGGTTGAGCATATTTAAAAAATAAATAATGACACCCTTGTTAAAACGTTTTTTGTGCATCAAGTTATCTAATTATGTTCAGTCAGTGCCCTGACACTAAAATATGTCAAAAAGGATATGGTTACCTTACAAAAGTTGCCCCAAAACAGTGATTTCTTCAGCAGTGATAGCATTGCCAACTTTCTCAGTGGAAGCTAGCTGAAGGGCATTCTGTTCGAACCACAGTGACATCTAGAGGTTGTATTGTGCATAACATGTCAACCAAAGGGTAGAGCAGGCTGAATCAGAGGGAGTTAAACTTTTTAATTTTTTTCCAAGATATCAAGACACAAAATGTGCTCTACCAAATGGTGGCGCTGGCAGTTAAAGGGTTCTCTGTTGTTTAATTAGATTCTCAGAGCATTTTCCTGATTCTCTCACGTTTCCTTCTCTTCCAGTAGATAGTGGTCTGCAGGAGGTTCTAGATGAACATAGGCTCCGTCTGAGGAGGAGATGTGAACGTGTGACAGAAGGAACTGATCAAAGTGAAACCCTCCTCAACAGCATCTTCACTGAGCTCTACATCACACAAGGCCAGAGTGAAGAGGTTAATACCCAACATGAGGTGAGGCAGCTGGAGACAGCTTCCAAGAAGAAGACCCTCCATGACACTCCAATCAAGTGCCAGGACATCTTTAAAGCCTTACCTGACCAACAGACTCCCATCAGAGCGGTCCTGACCAACGGAGTCGCTGGAGTTGGAAAAACCTTCTCAGTGCAGAAGTTCACTCTGGACTGGGCCGAGGGTTTGGGGAACCAAGATGTCAGTCTGGTGATCCCGCTCTCCTTCAGGGAGCTGAACCTGATCAAAGGAGAGCAGTACAGTCTTCTCAGGCTGCTCCATGTTTTCCATCCAACCTTACAGAAGGTCACAGCAGAGCAGCTGGCTGTCTGCAAAGTGCTGCTCATCTTTGACGGCCTGGATGAAAGCAGACTTTCTCTGGACTTCAGAAACAATGAGGTTGTGTCTGATGTCTCACAGCAGTCCTCAGTCAACGTGCTGCTGACAAACCTCATCAGGGGGAAGCTGCTTCCCTCGGCTCTCGTCTGGATAACTTCCAGACCTGCAGCGGCCAATCAGATCCCTCCTGAGTGTGTGGACAGGGTAACAGAAGTACGAGGCTTCACTGACGCCCAGAAGGAGGAGTACTTCAGGAGGAGATCGAGTGATGAAGACCTGTCCAGCAGAATCATCTCTCACATCAAGAGCTCCAGGAGCCTCCACATCATGTGTCAGATCCCAGTCTTCTGCTGGATCACTGCTGCAGTTCTGGACCACATGTTGACTACAGACCAGAGAGGAGAGCTGCCCCAGACCCTCACTGACATGTACTCACACTTCCTGCTGGTCCAGACCAAGAGGAAGAAGCAGAAGTATGAAGAGGGACATGAGACGAGTCCACAGCAGCTGACGGAGGCTGACAGGGAGGTTCTTCTGAAGCTGGGGAGGCTGGCGTTTGAACATCTGGAGAAAGGAGACATCATGTTCTACCAAGAAGACCTGCAGCGCTGTGGTCTTGGTGTCACCGAGGCCTTGGTGCACTCAGGAGTTTGTACAGAGATCTTCAAAAGAGAGAGTGTGATCTTCCAGAAAACAGTCTACTGCTTTGTTCATCTGAGCATTCAGGAGTTTCTGGCTGCAGTCTACTTGTTGCACTGTTACACCAACAGGAACAAAAAGGTACTGAAGCACTTCCTGCAGGGAGATCATGATTACTCATCCCTGGATAACTTCCTGAAGAGAGCCATGGAGAAATCCCTCAGAAGTAAAAATGGCCATCTGGACCTGTTTGTCCGCTTCCTCCACGGCCTGTCTCTGGAGTCCAACCAGAGACTGTTAGGAGGCCTGCTGGGTCGCACAGACAACCTTCCAACAATCATCCAGAGAGCCATCAGCAAACTGAAGAACATGAACAGTGATGAAATCTCTCCTGACAGGAGCATCAACATCTTCCACTGTCTGACAGAGATGAAGGACCTCTCAGTACATCAGGAGATCACAGAGTTCCTGAAGTCAGAGAACAGATCAGAGAAGGAACTCTCTGTGATCCACTGCTCTGCTCTGGCCTACATGCTGCAGATGTCAGAGGAGGTTCTGGAGGAGTTGGACCTGAGTCAGTACAACACATCAGAGGAGGGACGATGGAGACTGATTCCAGCTGTGAGGAACTGCAGGAAGGCCAAGTAAGTCCAGATGTGATTCACTTTATAAACTAATGTGGATCAGGAGTTTAATTATTCAAATAAACACGATAACATGTCTGCTGTTTAAATACTGAGAGCAAAATAAACCAACACTGTTCTTCTATTTATTTATAATAATAGTTCAATTGAACCGTTGCTCTCTTCATGTTGAGTGATGGAGGCGACATGTCAAACACATGAAGGACTTGAGAGGTTTCTCAGCATGTGATCACACCACACAGCAGGACTTACAGTTATCAGAGAAAGCACTTATTACTTTCTAGTAGTTTCTTTATCATTGAACAGACACATTTTTATCACAATGTATTAGAGTTTAAAATCAGATCTATATAATTTCCCACCAATAACAGAGTTATGTCTTAATGCTGATATACTGGGAACATCTGATGGTATTCAGTTGAAAATGTTAAAACTGTATTGGTTTGTTAATTGTGTTTGTGAGCGCAATACATGTTCAGATGCTCAGAGAAGCCAAAACATCCTTCATCCATCATTCACATCCAAATATTAATTAACATTTAAATATTTACTTCTGTAATAATGTGATCTATTAAATGTCTGTTTCTTTTGGTAACAGTCAGTGACAGCAGGAGCACAGACATGTGATCAGATCACCCTGGCAACACATTACACTCTATTATTATACATTATATTAAATGGACCAACAGCAAATGTCTATCAGAACATGTCAAATCTTTTTTCATCAAATGCTTGAGTTTAATATAATGTTTCCTCTTTTTAACACATGTTGTAATGTATGTGTTATTATAGACTTGTTTGCTGTGGACTCTCAGAGACTCACTGGGAAGTCGTGGCCTCAGCTCTGAAGTCTGACCCCTCCCATCTGAGAGATCTGGACCTGAGTAAGAACGATCTGCTGCAGGACTCAGGAGTGGAGCTGCTGAGTTCTGGACTAAAGAGTCCAAACTGCAGACTGAAGGCTCTCAGGTCAGTTCACTGACTGCAGTTCATATTGATCTGTTTGTGTTTATGATTTTCTGAATTTGAACAAATACAATGTTATTATTATTTTTCCACTGTTTGCTAATGACTGAATATTGATCAGAATAACAAAGAGAAGGTGAATGTGTGAGGGAGAGTGTTTGAGCTTCCACAGACTCACTCTGCGCTCCAGGAGTCAGTGGAGATGCTGTCAGTACTGATGAGCTGTGAGGGAGATGAAGGAGTTGTTAAACATCTGATCAAAGTTAAAGTTCCAGATTATCAATGGATTGTTTCTACATCATCTCTGACATTAAAACCCTTTTTAACTCTGATCAGATTATTAAACCTGGAGTTATTTCAAACAGGAACTTTGTTTTCTAAAGTTACATCATGTTTTCTTTATTCAGACTGAGTGGCTGCAGTTTGTCTTCGATCAGCTGTTCTGCTCTGGCCTCAGCTCTGAAGTCCAACATCCATCTGAGAGATCTGGACCTGAATTACAACAATCTGCAGGATTCAGGAGTGAAGCTGCTGAGAGATCTTCTGGAGAGTCCAGACTGCAGACTGGAGACCCTCAGGTCAGTAAGGGGTCTCTGCTGGTTCAGCAGTATTGTATGAAACTCAGCAGTGGCGAGCCGTCAGGGCCCTCTAGTTCCTCTGTGAGGGCTTAAGATATTCTAAAAAATAATATTTGAAAACATTAAAAAAAAAAGTTTAAAATTTTAATTTTTTTTAAAAATATGTTGTTGTTGTTACATTTTTCATTAGTTTTACCAAAATAACTTGATTTAATTGTATTTAAAATAATATTTCCGAAGAAATAAATCCTTCGAATCTGCCTGTTCAGTTTCTGTTGGAATGTGAAGGGTTAAATGCCGTCTCTGCGAGTTATGTGAAGACGGGAGAGCTTGTTGGTCCCTCTCTACATTCACAGAGGGCCAGCTATAGTAACTCAACGAGAGAGTAATGTCAAATGACAGTACAATTGACCAATCATATCTTCCCTCTAAATGGGCGGGCTTTATTTTCGCGGACTTTAAGACAAGTTCCGCCCGCTGTGAGGTCTATGCAAGTGGTGCAGTGACACGTCCTAAAACCAGGAAGTAAGCTGCGCTCGGATTCCCTCGACAGAAAGCAACGGGATTTCTCCATAGGATTTTGGAAAATAGCTTGAAATAAGGTCTGTGGAAAACGAACCTGTTAGATAAATGCACGTTTTGTTCAGCCGGATAATATCCACATGTCTACCCTACTTTTATTATTTTCGAATCATAAATCTAATCGATAGATTTATGATCGATAGATTTATAATTAGCATAAATTCGTTCATTCATGGTTCTCTGAAGAACCAGCACCTTACCGTGGTAGAGAGGTTTGTGTGCCCTGATGAACCTGGGGGCTGTGTTGTCTGGAACCTTGTGTTCCTGGTAGGGTCTCCCATGGCAAATTGGTCTCAGGCAAGGGGCCAGACTAAGATTAGTTCAAAAGACCTCATGAAAGACGACACAAGAAGTGAGGATACCCGGCCCGGAGGAAGCCCGGGGTCCCCTTCTGGAGCCAGGCCCAGAAGGAGGACTCGTCGGCGAGCGTCTGGTGGCCGGGCTTGCCACGGAGCCCGGCCGGGCCCAGCCCGAAAAGGCAACGTGGGCAACACCTCTGCTTCTCCGTCCCGCGGGCCCACCACCTACGGGAAACAGCGATGGGGTCGGGTGCGCTGCCAGAAGGGTGGCAGTGAAAGCGGAGGGTCTCGACGGACCAGACCCGGGCGACAGAAGCTGGCTTTGGGGACGTGGAACGTCACCTCTCTGGGGGGGAAGGAGCCGGAGCTTGTGCGGGAGGTGGAGCATTACCAGTTGGATCTGGTTGGGCTCACCTCTACGCACAGCGTCGGCTCTGGAACCTTACTTCTGGATAGGGGTTGGACTCTATTCTTCTCCGGAGTTGCTCAAGGTGTGAGGTGCCGGGCGGGTGTGGGGATACTCACAAGTCCCCGGTTAGGTGCTTCGTTGTTGGAGTTTACCCCAGTGGACGAGAGGTTCGCCTCCCTACGCCTGCGGGTTATGGGGGGGAAAACTCTGACTGTTGTGTGTGCTTATGCACCCAACAGCAGTTCAGAGTATACGGCCTTCTTGGAGACCCTGGAAAGAGTCCTGTATGGGGCTCCTGAAGGGGACTCTTTAATCTTGCTGGGAGACTTCAACGCACATGTGGGCAATGATGGAGACACTTGGAGGGGCGTGATTGGGAGGAACGGCCCCCCTGATCTGAACCGGAGTGGTGGTTTGTTACTGGACTTCTGTGCTAGTCATGGATTGGCCATAACAAACACCATGTTCGAACATAAGGATGCTCATAAGTGTACGTGGTACCAGAGCACCCTAGGCAGAAGGTCCATGATCGATTTCGTTATCGTATCATCGGACCTGAGGCCGTATGTTTTGGACACTCGGGTAAAGAGAGGGGCGGAGTTGTCAACTGATCACCATCTGGTAGTGAGTTGGGTCGAGTGGCGGGGGAAGCCTCTGGATAGACCTGGTAAGCCCAAACGTGTAGTTCGGGTGAACTGGGAACGTCTGGAGGAGGCCCAAGTTCAGGAGGCCTTCAACTCACACCTCCGGCGGAGCTTTTAAGGCATTCCTGTGGAGGTTGGGGACATTGAACCAGAGTGGTCGGTGTTCAAAGCCTCTATTGCCGAAGCCGCGGCGGGGAGCTGTGGTCTCAAGGTCCTAGGTGCCTCAAGGGGCGGTAACCCTCGAACCTCCTGGTGGACACCGGTGGTCAGGGAAGCCGTCCGACTGAAGAAGGAGGCCTTCAGGGATTTGTTATCTCGGGGGACTCCCGAGGCAGTTGTAAGATACCGACAGGCCCGAAGGGCAGCAGCCTCATCCGTGGCCAAGGCAAAGCAGCGGGTGTGGGAGAAGTTCGGAGAAGGACTTTCGGGCGGCACCAAAGTTGTTCTGGAAAACTGTCCGACACCTCAGGAGGGGGAAGCAGGGAACCATCCAAGCTGTGTACAGTAAGGATGGGACGTTGTTGACCTCAACTGATGGAGTGTTAGGGCGTTGGAAGGAACACTTTGAGGAACTCCTGAACCCGACAACTCCGCCCTCTATATTAGAGGCAGAGCTGGAGTATGACGGCGGATCAACACCAATCTCCCGGGGGGAGGTCACTGAGGTCGTCAAACAACTCCAAAGTGGCAAAGCCCCGGGGGTGGATGAGATCCGCCCGGAAATTCCCTCAACAGGGAAGTCCCTGTTGAGGGACTGTCATGGTTGACACGTCTCATCAACGTTGCGTGGAAGTCGGAAACAGTACCGAAGGAGTGGCAGACCGGGGTGGTGGTTCCCCTTTTTAAAAAGGGGGATCAGAGGGTGTGTGCCAATTACAGAGGCATCACACTACTCAGCCTCCCCGGGAAAGTTTACTCTAAGGTACTCGAAAGGAGGGTCAGGCCGATTGTCGAACCTCAGATTAAGGAGGAACAATGCGGATTCCGTCCTGGTCGTGGAACGACGAATCAGCTTTTTACTCTCGCAAGGATCCTGGAGGGGGCCTGGGAGTACGCTTAAGCCGGTCTACATGTGTTTTGTAGACTTGGAGAAGGCGTATGACCGAGTTCCCAGGGAGTTACTGTGGGAGGTGCTGCGGGAGTATGGGGTGAGGGGGTCTCTACTCAGGGCCATCCAATTTCTGTACTCCCAAAGCGAGAGCTGTGTCCGGGTCCTCGGCAGTAAGTCGGACCCATTTCCGGTGAGGGTTGGCCTCCGCCAGGGCTGCGCTTTGTCACCAATCCTGTTTGTAATATACATGGATCGGATTTCGAGGCATAGTCATGGGGGAGGGGGTCTGCAGTTCGGTGGACTAAGGATTGCACCACTGCTTTTTGCAGATGATGTGGTTCTAATGGCTTCATCGGTCTGCGACCTTCAGCACTCACTGGATCGGTTCGCAACCGAGTGTGAAGCGGCTGGGATGAGGATCAGCACCTCCAAATCTGAGGCCATGGTTCTCAGCAGGAAACCGATGGACTGTCCACTCCAAGTAGGGAATGAGTCCTTACCCCAAGTGAAGGAGTTCAAGTATCTCGGGGTCTTGTTCTCGAGTGAGGGAACAATGGAGCGTGAGATGGGCCGGAGAATCGGAGCAGCGGCAGCGGTACTGCAGTCGCTTTACCGCACCGTTGTGACGAAAAGGGAGCTGAGCCAGAAGGCAAAGCTCTCTGTCTACCGGAACATTTTCGTTCCTACCCTCACCTATGGTCATGAAGGATGGGTCATGACCGAAAGAACGAGATCGCGGATACAAGCGGCCGAGATGGGTTTTCTCCGCAGGGTGGCTGGTGTCTCCCTTAGGGATAAGGTGAGAAGTTCGGTCATCAGGGAGGGACTCGGAGTTGAGCCGCTCCTCCTTCACGTCGAAAGGAGCCAGTTGAGGTGGTTCGGGCACCTAGTTAGGATGCCACCTGGGCGCCTCCCTAGGGAGGTGTTCCAGGCACCTCCAGCTGGGAAGAGACCACCATAATACCAGGACCAGGTGGAGGGATTATATCCCTTCGCTGGCCTGGGAGCGCCTTGGGATCCCCCAGTCAGAGCTGGTTGATGTTGCCAGGGAAAATAAAGTTTGGGGCTCTCTGCTGGAACTGCTACCCCCGCGACCCGACCACGGATAAGCGGGAGAAGATGGACGGATGGATACATTCGTTCATGATGGCTCACTTCAGTGATAGTGATGACATCGTTGCGAAATGATTAACAGAGTCATTTTCAAGATTGAGTTACAATGATAAACTGGAGTGGCAAAGGATCAGCTGAATGACCCGCCATCAAGTGCTTCATCCAAAAGGACAGGAGGATGGACTTGGTGTTTAAGTGATTTGATCAGCAAAGGTAGGCCCAAGTCATTTTAATTTCTAATTGTTACTTGGCTGTGGGTGCCCTGTCATGATAGGTGTTTATATAAATGGTGTTGTTTTGTGTGGTAGAGGGTCGCTGTCATTGATGCGTTTTGCACCCCGGGCCGCTGTTTTGATATTCCGCTGAAAAATACACTGTGACATAATAACTCTTCTTTTTTTTCTCGAGGGAAGGGGGGGGGGGGGGGGGGGGGGGGGGGTCAGAGGGCCTAGGTATAATAAAAGTCACGGCTCGCCACTGAAACTCAGGGAGGTGTTTCTCTCACTGGGGAAACAGATCAGTGATGTTACCCACTGACTGCATGCTCTCTCATTCTTCCATCAACTAGAGAAGGCCAGCTGGAAATTTTATTTTATGTGATGTTTTAGTTTGTAGACTAATGACTGGTATATAATCACATCTGTATGTCAGTATGCTACCATGATCAGCTGGTTAGCTTGACTTAGCAAACAGATGGGGGAAACTATGGAGTCAGATTTGGGTCAATATTCTAGCGTGTAAAACAAGCTACTCACGAGCGGAAAATGTGCTTTTACACGCGCATAAAATGACACTCGCGCGCAGATTAAACCCCCGCGAGAGACAGCCCTCTTGCCCGCTCGCGGGAGTGTCAGCCTCACTCGCTCGAGGAGTCTGTCTACGTGCGCGTGAAAAGTTTCTGGCACTTTGGGGCGGAGCCACTGGACTTTGATTGACAGCTGCCAGGAAGCCCGGAGTTGCCAGGTTTGATAAATGCCTGAATTACCAAGAGCCGAGGAGTGACAGCTGCAAGATCAGTTGGACGAGATTGAATGGTA